GAAGATCCTTTTACATGAAATAATTTATACACATCCAACTGGAAAAGAGTGTGAAAAAATAGGTGTCTTCTATGCAGATGTTGGTGGATCAAAAATGAGGGGGAAATTCTTCAGAATCCTTGAATTATCTTTAAAAACTATATTTTTAATAGTAAGCCTACAAATAGTTCAGCTAGTTATGTGTGATACTGAAGCATAAAGTGAATGGGACATCTCCATCTTCAACTGTGATCACTGGACATTCTATGAAAATATATTCACATGTTTTTTTTGGTATTTCTACAGATCTTGACTACAAGAGTAATTTGCAAAGTATTTTCAAAATAGTCACTTACATATGTCCAATTTGTTTTCATAGTGCTGACTTTCATGTATTTGACCATACGCAGGAATACTGAGCGCTTTCTCAGACAGCATACAGAGGCATAATTTTGGAGGTTAGCATCTCTGTCAATGGAAAATTTTGCTCAACACATTTTTTCACAACTGTAACCCAGTGTGTGAGAAATTTAGCATTTATACAATGCAAAAATTTGCAAGAAATCCTTCTCACATTAACTACTTACATGAAATGTTTCCCTGTTTGCATTATTTCCTTATTTGGTGGCATTATTTTGCACTGAATGCTTTTTTCCATTGTTGGAATGCATAGGGTTACTTCCTTATATGAACTCTTTCATGTCATTATAATCACTGGTGGTGGACAAATTTGCTGCATTGCTTACATGCATACAGATTCTCCCCATTGTGGTTTCTTTCATGTGTTCATCAAGTACAAAAGGAACTGAATGTTTTCCCAAGTTGCTTACCTACATAGGGTTTCTTCCCATTGTGAAATCTTTAATGCATTTACAAGGTATGGGCTTGGCTGGTAGATTTCCCACACAGCTTACATACTCAAGTTTTTTCTCTATGTGGGATCTTCTAGGTCTAGAAAATGTGGATTATCAGCAGAGATTTTAAGTTATGACTTATATAAGTTTTCTCCCATGTGAATTATTTTATGGACAACATTACAATATTGATTGAAAGATTTTCCACATTATGCACCTATATAGGTGTTCTCCCTACTGAGAGTTCTATCATGTTTTTATAACATGTTTGTGTACTGAACATGTTTCTAAATGTCTTGCATGATAAGATTTCTCCCTAATTTAATTTCATTCTTGTTTCTGACAGTGAATGTGTCTGCCTTTGCATTTGTGATGGTATATCTTAACATTAGGATGGCTACATGGATACAGGCCATGAATACAAGCTGAATACAAGCATAATTTGAATATGAATGTATAGACACTTCTTGGTAAACTGATATGAGTTACAGATTCTGATGGGAAAAATTGTCATGAGATAATTTGATGTCATCCATCAAAACAAGACATGGGCGGTTCAAAACATGGAAAAAATGATATAGCATACTTAAATTTTCATTAAAAAGTGCAATATCTTTATTAAGACTACAGACAGATAAAATATTTATGTGTAATTTGTAAAACAAGACAAAAATATTTTAGGATGATTCTGTTTCAGGTTGTCTTAAAAAATGTATGAATATATATTGACAGAAATTATTTTATAATATTTTGGCAGATCTCCTCTACATGACTAATTTTGAAATTATTTTCAGAATAGTCCCCTAAATATGTATGATTTCACTTAACTAGGATTACTTTCACACTTTTGACAATAGCCATGTATACTGAGTGCTTTCCCACATTGCATACATAACCTCGGGACATAGTATGACATCACTCAGAAGGTTAGCAGCTGTCAGCTGAACGTCTACCAAATCTTTCTTACATACAGTTACTCCCCAATGTGAGAGGAATCTTATGTTTGCCAAAGGGAAACACTGCAGCAAATCTTTGCCATACTGCCTACATATATAGGATATCTTCCTTGTGTGCAAAATTTCCCTATGGCATTTTTGTGTGCTACATATGATCTACCATTGTTCAAATGCATAGAATTACTACACCGAGGTAGTTCTTAAATGTAGTGGCAATCTCAATGGTATGGAAAGTCTTCCTATATTCCTTATGTTCATGGGATTTTTTTCCCAGTGTGGGATATTTGGTTTTGTATAGTGAGAATGTATAAACAAATCCATTTACTCATTTCTCATATAGATAGGGAATTTTTATAGAGAGAATTATTTTCTATACAAGAAAGCTACTATTATAGCTAAAATACATCACAAGTTGCTTACTTCAATGGAAAGGGTTTATTTTCAGCACTTCTGCATACTGTCTGTTTTGGCATAATTGTTGTTCTATCCAGTGTGAGTTCTTTCATGAATAATAAGGTGACTGCTTTGACAGAAAGATTTCCCCCATTGCTCACATACAAAGGGTTTCTCCCCAATGTGAGTTCTATCATGTGATTTACAAGCAGAGGATGTACTGAATGCTTTCCCACATTTGTTGCATACATAGGGTTTATCACCTGTGTGAATTCTTCCATGTCTAATAAGGTTAGACTTTTGATTGAAAGATTTCCCACATGGCTTACATACAAAGGGTTTCTCCCCAGAGTGAATTCTGTCATGTACTTTACAAGCAGAGGATGTACTGAATGCTTTCCCACATTTGTTGCATACATAGGGTTTATCCCCTGTGTGAATTCTTTCATGTTTAATAAGGTCACTATTTCGACTGAAAGATTTACCACATTGCTTACATACAAAGGGTGTCTCCCCAGAGTGAATACTGTCATGTGTTTTACAAGTAGAGGATGTACTGAATGCTTTCCCACATTTATTGCATACATAAGGCTTATCCCCTTTGTGAATTCTTTCATGTTTAATAAGGTTAGACTTTTGATTGAAAGATTTCCCACATGGCTTACATACAAAGGGTTTTTCCCCAGTGTGAATTCTATCATGTGCTTTACAAGCAGATGCGTGATTGAATGCTTTCCCACATTTGTTGCATACATAAGGTTTATCCCCTGTGTGAATTCTTTCATGTCTAATAAGGATAGACTTTTGATTGAATGCTTTCCCACATTTGTTGCATACATAAGGTTTATCACCTGTGTGAATTCTTTCATGTCTAATAAGGATAGACTTTTGATTGAATGCTTTCCCACATTTGTTGCATACATAAGGTTTATCCCCTGTGTGAATTCTTTCATGTCTAATAAGGATAGACTTTTGATTGAATGCTTTCCCACATTTGTTGCATGCAAAGCGTTTCTCCCCAGTGTGAATTATTTCATGTGTAATAAAGTCACGATTTTGACTGAAAGATTTCCCACATTGCTTGCATACAAAGCGTTTCTCCCCAGTGTGAATTCTATCATGTACTTCACAAGCAGAGGCTGTACTGAATGCTTTCCCACATTTGTTGCATGCAAAGGATTTCTCCCCAGTGTGAATGTTTTTATTACTTTGACAGCCACTGAGTTTACTGAATGCTGTCCCACATTGCTTGCATTCATATGGTTGCTTTCCAGTGTGAAGTTTCTTATGTTTTTTAAAGATATTACTGTGAGATAATGCTTTTGCACATTTTTCAGTTATATGATCTTTCTCTATACCATATTTTCTAACAGGTTTTTCAATATTGGATGAAGAAATAGAATTATTCTCATAGTGTTTTTGTACATACGAGTTACCTGAATCGTGGTTTGTCTTGGGGGTTTGAACACTGTTAGGTGATGTGTGGGCTTTGACACTTTTGTTACCTGCAAAAATTTTCTGCCCAGCGTGTGTTTGTTCACTAATATCAGATCTCTCCTCCTCATATTGCCCATATTCACAGGGTCTCTCTACAGTCTTCCTCATTTCATGCTTCCAAAAGGACTGGAAATCACTGCAGGTCTCTACATCTTCATTACATTTATATTGCTGCTCTTCAATTCTCAAATAATTGCTTTCATCACATCTGTGAAGAAATACAAAAAAAAATATCAATCACAATGGAAAAGGCTCCACATTAGCAACAATTTTTATGATGACAAATTTAGTTTTATTCCTGCTAAGTAATTCTGATTGGTTAACTGACTCACTGCCCCACAGGACTTCTTTCAAAATACTATTCATTCTAAAAATTTTTACTGTTTTTTTTTTTTTTTTTTTTTTGTACCAGGGATTGAACTCACAACTGCATGCTTACAAGGCAGGCACTTATGCCCCTGAGATAAAATCCCTAATCCATTTAGGCAATTTAAATTGTTATGTGATTCTAATGCTTAATATCATTTTAGGATACTGGTACAAATGAATAGCAAACATTGATCATTTTTTTTAGCTCTTCGTGTCTTAATCTCCCCTTTGTCTATTTAGCCTGATCCTCTTTCTCATCAACAGAACATAAGGATTTCTGGTCATATATTCTCCCTCTTTACTTTCACTTCTCAAATAAGTTTTTAATTTCTCACTTAAGAAAAAACCTGAGTTGTGGCCAGTGATTTAGCCCAGCAGCATAAGCACCAGCCTGGCAAGCATAAGATTATGGGTTCATTTCTCTGTACCAAACAGAGAGAGAGCGAGAGCGAGAGCGAGAGCGAGAGAGAGAGAGAGAGAGAGAGAGAGAGAGAGAACCTGTGATATTTTCATTTCTATGTCTGAATTACTTCACTTAAGGTCCAATACTTCTTGTTTCTTGGGAAATGGTATCATGGTTCCCTTTATAGCTTTTTTTTTTTACAACATGGAGTTAAACACAGGTCATAGAATGAACTACATTTGCTGATCTATTATTTGTTTTGTTGAGAAAGATTTTTATTGACCATCAACTTGTCCAAGCTGAACTTCAAGTTATCATCCTGCGATTCAGCTTCCCCAGCTGCTTGGATTGCAGGAATGCACCACCGTGATGAACTGACTTCATATTTTCTTTACCTTGGCATCCAGTGATGGGTATCTGGGCTCTTCTCAATGCTTAGCTACTGTGAGTTGATTCTTGTATTGGATATTGTAAATGCCCTTTCATGTGCTTTAACAAACAACACACTCTCATGCATCACTAACATTTGATGATTTTAATGTATTTGACAATATACTGAGAGAATCATTACACATAATGACACAGTACGACCCACTCAACAGTCAGGAGGTAGAGGCAGGAGGATTTCCCTGAGGTTCAGGCCATTATGGGCTTCACAGTAAGTTCAAAGTCAACCTGAACTACAGTATAAAATCATGGCTCAAAAGATTTAAAAAAAGGATATCACTGTGGATGTACATGTGAACCAATATGAAATATGTTGTTTTAATTTTCAGACCAGTGAATATTTATTACCATGCTTGTATTTTATGTGTCCATCAACAATGTATGAGGAATATTAAACATGAACAGCTCAATATTCTATAGGATATTTTCAGAGTACTTATTGTAACAGTAGAATTCATTTTCATTTTGAATGCTGATGCTATGTGAAAATAATTCTAGATCATGAAAGTCTCAGTATTCACATGTATACATAAATGGTATTTTGAAGATGGGTTTTTATCAACTTTCACAATTTGTTCATTTCCTACATATCAGAATACAATATTTAATTTATTATCATACATTTATATGATGTTGATCATGAAGGCAATTTTTGAACTGATACATTAGATAGTGTTATTTACTACATAGCATTAGAATTACCTCTGATTCTTATATTTCAATATGTTTCCATGGATTCCCAGATAATACAAAATAAAATCAAGTATATCTCTTGGTATTTTTCTGAGGTTAAATAAACTATAACATGATTTCATTTCTTCAATTCCTTTGTTGTAATGTTTATGCTCACACACTGACAATTAAGTAATGTCCCCTTTCTCTTATGTGTTTCAGTCACCTTATACTACTTGAGCAATTTTTGTCCTCTTCCTTAATTTGCTGATTATTCCATATTCTTCCTGTAATATGGACATAGAAATAAAATACAATTACTATAACTGTGCATTAAAATATCACTGATTTGATTTACACTCACAGTATAGTATAATCAGATGAGATACTCAAGCAAATGTTATTATTATCAAATATATTAAACTGTATCAATGAGCAATAATTAATGCTGTTGGTATAAACAAACATGTCATCCTTACTTGTTGCAGTAATATTCATATATGTTTCCCACATCACTCTTCTGTAGAGCTTCTTTTGGGATGGAGTCAGCAAGTCCCACTCTGCTGGGGTGAACTTCACAGCTACATCCTCAAAGGTCACTGTCTCCTAAATAATGACAAGGGTCCTGAAGTTCAGTCACACATGACCTGATATATCTCAGTTCCTGTCATAAGTAGTCTACCTGAAATTCATTCCTTCAAGTACTAACTGCATGTCATGGTCATCAAAACTTAAGTACATTCAAATATAGTCACCCAGTAACACTGTTGCTAGACTATGACACACTGCCAAAGCAATCACAGAACTGTAGCATGGCTTATCCTGCAGGGCCACCAATAGTGTAGTTTTTCACTTACTTTAAAGCAGAGCTCAAAGAGTGAGCATGCAAACCAACATTCACAAAATATTGGTTATTCATAACACTGAGTTTGTCTTTCTTATCAATAGCATTATGGTCTTGAATCTATATTTATAGATAAATATTTAGTTGAATATGAAAAGATATTTCTGAATGATTAAAATTTAATGACAGAAAAGTTTTATTTGACCATTCTATAGACAAGGAAATAAGGGAAAATATAGTTATAAATCTATAGCTCAGGGATACTAAATTATCTTCTTGTACTTATATACTGGAAATTCCACTAGGGTGCAAAGGAAGATAATGTGTGGAAAAACATATATGAAATGCTTGAAATAGAGTGAAAATTGAGAAACAGAAAAGTAACTGATCACTAAATACTGATGGAAGAGTTCAGTACAGTGGAGTAGTATATGCTTGTACTCTCAGAACTTGAAATCATGATGTATGAGAGTTACCAGAAATTTCATGTTTGCCATGCATACAGTGTCCAGCCTGGGCTATGTAATAAGGACAGTTCAGAATACAAAGTGAGGCCATTCATCAAACTCCTGTACCAAATGAAAATTAAAATTAATTCACAGTCATTGACAAATCACAACTTTGCACCCAGGATATATCTCAATGATAAAAGCACCTGTGTGACATTTGCAAGGGCCTGAGTATACTTTCCAGTACCAAAAAGAGAATTCAAATGCACCTTTGATTAGTTCCAACAACTGTAGATGTAAGTTAGAGAAAAAAAGCCCTACAAACATTGAATATTTGTGTGCAAGGAAACATTTTGCATAATAAACAGGAAAACATTTGACATTCAACATTCATATCAGTGGACAAAGGGATCTCAGAAAAGGAAAACAAACTTCAATTCATCCACATGGAAGTAGAATATTATGTCACAATTCAGCTGGCATTGTGCTCCTAGGCAAGAGAGCACAATATGTTTCATTTATATCCAGAAAGAAACAGATATGTCCCTAGAAATCTGGCCTGCACACTACTGTTGCCTATGTGCATTGGTGAATTATTGAAATGGAAAAGAGAAACATGAATTACTGTGCAATTTATACTGAAAAACACTCAGTGCAAAACTCTTCTGAAGAAAATCAAGCAGCCATGAAAATTAGAAGAATTTGAAATCTATGAAAATTGGAATTAAACAAGAAAACATTTATTGGGAACACAATACAAAGATTTTACATAGAGTTATGATCAATGAGTACAAATCTAAAAGTAAACAAAATTTATGTGACCCAGCAGAAATAATGAATAGAAAAGAAAGTCTAACTCACATTTGTGAAAATAACCAAACAATATTGAAGTGTGGAAGAAAAAAATATTTAGATTTATTCTTAAATTCCACAAACTCCTTTTCTATGGAGTTTATGAAAATCTACAAACAAGTGAATTCTTTCTAATGTATACAAAATATTTTGTTCTATGATTACTTGAAATACACGTGATTCTTTTCAAGTGAAATTACAGACTCAGAAACTGTGACAAGAGAATAAATGAGGGGGGCTGAGAAAATGGTGGCTTTCTAGGGGATTGGGCGGAGAGTCTCTCCAGAGAAATCATATTAGAAGCTAGAATATGACAATATGGAGAGGGCCAGACAAATGGGTAACGATTCTTATTAACCAAGACAGCACAGCTGGAGGATTTAAAGTCGTGCTGAGGCTGTGAAGGCTAATAACGGGAGGCTGCAAATCCTGCGCCTTTAAATCAGCGAACTGACCCGTGGACTCAAGAGGAAAAGCTGTGTTGGCTTTTGGTCACTGCTGGAAACTGAGACCTGGGACCCTGAGAAGCAGCCAGGATAGCCCCGCTGCACCAGAGGAGATTGTAAAAGGCCCTGGAGCTCCGAAGCCGAATGCTGTGCAGTTTTCTGATGGTTCCTCGCTGTGCTGGGAGCACGGGGAGGGCGGGCAGTGTGGTGTGCGGTGGACCCGGGAGGAGGACCTGCACTGAACCCTGGTGAGTACTGGGGACCCCGTGGCTGCTGGGGTTGGCCAGAGAACATCTTGGAACTGGGCAGTGCCCGCAACCACGGGGACATCATTAACACAGAGAGTCTGGCGGAAGACATCTTATAGTTGGGCAGAACCTACAGCTCGGAGACATAACCAAGTCCCCTGTAGGGAGGTCTGGTGGAAGACATATTGAAATTGGGCAGAGCCTGATGCCATGCTGGCTTCAGCATCATACAGAGAACTAGTGGTAGACATCTTGGATTTGGGCAGACCTGCTCTCCTGGCACTCCTGTCACAGAGAGGTCTGGAAGAGAACAGCTGGGATTTGGGCAGAAACCTGTGCCATAGTGACATTAGTCAGCTGCTTCTGGTACAGGGAAAACTGGCAGGAGCTACTGGTGCTAAACTAAGCCTCTGCTTGTGGCCCAATAAGCAGATACAAAATAGTCACAACTCAGTGACATCCAGAAAGTACAGCCTAATTTACGGATTGACTGGCACAGAGGCTGGAGGCTAGCCTGTACTGCCGCTGCATCCCAGTCTACCCCAGATAACAGCAAATTGGGGAGGACAGCAAAAACTCAAGCCAGCATGCTTCTGAAAGGCTCTAAGGAATACAGAGAGGGCCAGGGAGCCCAAGGACACTCCAGTCTGAAAGAAACCAGAAACATGACAAGAGATAAAAATTTAAAAGATCTCCAGCTGCCCAACATTAGAAAATAAGCCCAGGAGAAGTAAACACTGAAGAGAACAAGCACAGTAACCATCCAATACTTGACACAGCATCAGCCGGAATTAAAAAATACCTTCATGACCTCATAGATGAATTTAAAGCTGTACTTCTGATCCAAGTGAGGCAAGATATAAAGAGATTAATTAAAGAAATGACAACTCCCCCTAAGAGAACACAGATGGAAGAACTGAGGAAATCAGAAAAGAGAGAGAAACTTCTGAAGAAGAATTTAAACATAACTTAGAATACATGAAACAGATCCAAAGAAATTACCTTGAAACTAAAAACACCATTGAACACTGGCAAAATGCCTTGACAGAAACTAAAGGCAGCCTTCAGAAACTTGAAGAGAGATTTATGGCATATGATCATGAAAGAAAAAGCCTCTTAAAAATAACAAGGAGCCAGAAAGAAACAATTCAAAAACTAGAAGATGACAAAAAGATACATAACTTAAGAATAAAGAATGTGAATGAGGAAGCAGGAGAAACCAAAAATGAAATACAAAGAATATTCACAGATATATTAAAGCAAAAATTCCCATGTATAGCAAAAAGAAATGATATGCAGATAAAAGAGGCATACAAAACACCAGCTACCTACAACCAAAACAGATCTACGCCTAGACATATAATAATCAAGATTCCAGAAATCCACCAAAAGAACAGAACATTAAAAGCAGCCAGAGAAAAGATGCAGATTACCTACAATGGGAAAATTATCAAAATAACAGCAGACTTATCAACACAAACTCTTAAGTCAAGAAGGGAGTGGGGAGAAATATTCCAAGTCCTGAAAGAAAATAATATGCAATGAAAGCTCGTATGCCCATCAAAACTCTCTCTCAAAATTAATGGAGAAATAAGATGCTTCCAAGATAAGGAGGAACTTTGGAAATTTGTTGCCACCAATCCAACCCTACAGAGAGTGCTGAAGGACATTACAGAGAAAGAGAGGAAGGGATACCAGAATTCCAGCAACACCAGCAGAGTGGCCTCAATGAATGGGGCAGACAGTGGAATGAGGGAATAAAGTGGACAAATTATAGCAGAAAAGTGGAGTAGCAGATATAAGTAAGAGACGGTAAGCTATAGTATTTAGTACAGACAGCTCTGAAACACTATTTAAAAAAGGCAGAGGTCATTGTTAATGGTGTGTAAGGATTTAAAAGACACAGTAGTCTTATCGCCATATTTAGTTTGAATTTAATTTGTTCTGGTCTGTCCACTCATGTCAGATTTGAGGGCACAGACATCTTGACCTAAAAATAGCAGGTTATATTATGGTAACTATCCTTACTTTCCTATTAACTTAAACTGAAATCCTGTATTACTTACATTGTCTTACTATGACTGATCTTAATTGAATCCAATTCATAAGACCATGGGTTTGCCTTGGCTGATTTTATTTGAATTTGGTATGCTTGTTAGTATCAACCCTAAAAGTAGAGGCAACTACTCTGAAGAGGACAAGATGTAAAGGATATCCATACTGGTATTAACTATTAGCAGACCTCAAATCCTACAATGCTTTCAAAGTTAAGTTTTTATAAAAATAGGTAATACTACGTTTAACTATAATAAGCCAATGTTGTGGACAATTCTATTGAAAATAACAAGAGAAAACATAGCAACTACAGAAGATCATTTATATTGTGGTCTTATATGTCTTATCCATTGCATGTTTTTTCTAGGAAATTGTTTTGCTGTCTTGGTACAACTTGGTTTTCCCTATAATACAGAGAGGATAGATACATATGTAGAAATTCACACATGAATTTTTTAAATTATTTATGGGAACAGATTATATAATGCAAGATGTAACGAACAAATACTCTGAGGAAGAGACGCTAAGAAACCCAAGGCTAATCTTGTAGCATTATGATATAAATTCTAGCAATACTATTGTTCACTGATTAGAATGACATTGGACTGGTTTCTTGAGTTCAATTTCAGCATATGTAGAGATGGGGACAACTATCACAACAAGAATGAGAGATACGATGGTGGTTATTATTGTCTTCCCTAATGTTAGATCT